ATACATTATTATACATTAGAACTGGTCTAGAAGAAACTGCGACCCAAATATCTATGCTTATCAGCACAAGATGCGGCCGTGCAAACTGCAGGTCGTTACTGACTTGAAGCATTTCATTTGTGATGTTGATGAATAACTGCTCAAGAGAGTTGTTCTGGAAGACTTCGAAGCCGAATATATCCAAAAGTCCTGAAAACCCGCAGCAAATCGATAGCCACACGAAGTCATCTTTCTCTTCAGGAAGAGTATGCGAATAGGATAAAATCATGTAGGTGGAGTAAAACTTCTCAATAAGAAACTATACTACAAACTATTTATGCTCATTTGTATAAGAAAATAGGCACGGAGAAACGCCAAATGGATTCATACCCATAAATGTTTGGAATCCGCCTGCGGGCTCTATGGTCGAGTTAAGCGCCTGAATAATCCAAAGAAACAATTTCTCATACACTGCCTTGGCTAGAGAGCCACGGAGCATGTCCGAGTCCTCAACTGTCCAGCGTCCTTCGATTTTGTTGTTTCCTGCAAACAAAACAGGCAAAAACAGCAGCATAAATTCTTATCTCCGAAGGAGAATTATACATGGAGAGGCCTGTGGAGGATACAGAAGCCGTTTGTTCGAGCGACCAGTGCAAACACCGCACCGGCACCCGACAGCCTGCTTTATTCTCGAATAGAGGAAATAAAAGAAAAGGGATTATATTGTTAACCAGAACACTCCAAGGAAGCTTTGATGGAAGACACAATAACTACTTGTACCACAGGCACTATAAATACGGCTCTTTGTACTCTACAGAGAAGACGGCCTACCGGCGTATGTAACTTTAACTGTTAACTCTGTCATAACTCTTTCAGCGTCTAAGAACAACAGGTCGCAGGCGTCCTTCAGCACGCGAGCGCTATCACCCGTTATAACAGCAGCGTTGTCCACTCCAGCCTCTTTCTTCCCTGAGATGCACGACACCCACAGCGAACACGACAGTCTTTAGACGTCGCCGTTGTAGCAGAAAACAACAGAATAGAACAATGCAACGTCGAGTTGTAAGCAAGGCTGGCCCTGAGATCGTGCCTACAAACGAGGCAACATGGGTCACCCTGCGATATATATATATATATATATATATATATATATATATATATATATATATATATATATATATATATATATAACGCTGCTGCACAACTAGTAAATCCGCATGCTGAATGTGAACAGCAGGCGAAAACCTACCGACTGCTGTCACATTGCCGAGCAGTAAAACGCCTGACACCACCGACCAAATGGTGTGCCGCTGTTCTTCCTTCAGGCCCATGGATTCGAAAGCCTTTACTACAGATTCAAATTCACTGAGGTCGTCAACTCCTAATAAACAAAGACAATACATTGCAGGGACAAAGTATAAATGCCACAGATGAACACTAGCGCTGTGTTCGGCAAGGGCATTCCCTTTGGAAACCTTAAAACTCACATCAGCTACATTATAAAGGCTGTACTTGGCTGGCTTCCACTACAGGAATTGCAGCTGGCTTTCTGGCTTCTACACGCTTACCGGGAGCGTCTACACAGTGCGGGTTCAAAAATTGGTACTTGCTGCAGTCTAGCAGCTTGTAGCGTTCCTTCATTTGGGGTGTGCTTCCTTTGAGCATTTGGTAGAAGATATGATAAGAGCGCTCGTTCCGGTCCTAATAACAACATGCATACCAACACCAAATTCTCAGCATGCGCAGAAGCAAAGCTGCTTCAGCTTTCGTAAAGAGTTGCAGCGCAACTTCTGCTCCCGTAGAAGCAAAGGATTGCAGAACGTCCTGCTCTATCTGTCTTTCTTTACTTGGGTCAGGATTCTGCTCTTTTCCAACAAAAACGCGAGCACGGAGCCGTGGCGAATGCCTCCTCCCTTGGCCACATCCAGCTGCATGAAACGCCCGAACCGACTGCTGTTGTTGTTGCGGACGGTCTTCGCGTTTCCGAAGGCCTGATGAAGTTAACGCAACAAAAAACAGATAACGAACAAAATCTTCACGTAGAAGCTTCCTGATCACTCAATCAAACAAACAGCTGTCAGGTGCCTCCTCCCTGTTCTGTCCATGCGACGCAACGGCGCACAACAGTTGAAAAGGAAACCAGAATTAAAACCGAAAGAAGGATGGCTAACCTCGAGCACAGGATTAGCTGCCATGATGGCTTGTTGAATCCTTGCGTCTAAGTTCCCTGATCTTGCGCTTGCGAAGTATTTCATTAACTGTTTTGTCGTTTCTGTTTTTCCGGCGCCCGATTCTCCTGATACGACAATCGTTTGGCTTTTCTTAACCCCATGCAGGTTGTCCACCGCACGTCTCGATATTTGAAATATGTGCGGTGGCAGTTTGTCGCAATCGGCTGCGTCACGGTACTGAGCAATGACTTCAGGTGTTCCGTTACGCAAATCTTGGAAAGGATTAATGGCCACAATCAGCGGCTCCACCGCCGTATACATCACCTTGTTCATGTAACGAACGCGCAAGAAATCTAACACGCACGGAATATTCTGGTGGGGGATCGTGCCAATGTCCGTGTAGGCCATAGGATCCAAGTTAGTATTTGCATTGAACACTTGACCGGGTTTAGCCTCAAACACCTGCAACGACAACGCAACCCACACACTACTACTACGCTACTACACTACAGGCAATGCTAGCCGCGAACATTAATATTACTGCCATTACTTTATGTAATGCAATATGTAAATGCTTATTGCTCCGTTAGACGAGCAACTGGCCATGGACCGGGGTTGTGTTTGACTTCCAGAGGGGGAAGAAGAAATGAAGGAAAAAATAGATAAGGAGTTGTGGAGTTGTGATAGACAACTAACCTCGTTGCTAGGTGGTTCTTTTTGCTTCAACATGAGTTTACTGGCAGTGGATGACGCCTCGACGGAACAAAGAGCGAACATCAGATCAGGATCGCTTTTGACTGCAGGGGCATTCATCGCCCACACTTCAACTTTGGAAACCGCAACGTCATTCTGCATATACACGACCTGAAGACAGCCACAAACGCAAGCACGTTTAGCAGAGACTGAGTATCTCGCTTTACTTGTTTGCCGGATGGACCGACGCAACCTGAACCGATTGCGGTGGTCAACACTCAACAAGCTTTAGTGCCTCTCCCCGTTCCTCTCCCTGTGTCCCCTTTGAGGTAATAACACGCCTAACTATGTTGCTGTCTCATGGGTCGAGGCAGAGCATATGCACACAACTCACTGCAGAACCTTTCTTGACCAGCGAGGCCGCCGTTTTGGCCTCGGGCTCCGGTTTGTCTGTCATCTTCTCTCAAGTGTTGAAATCGCCCAGAATTCGAGGGAGGTAACAAATTCAGGTTAGGATAAAATCCTCTAAGAGAGCAAAACGCACGATATTCTTCGCATGGGCTATGAAGGCCGCCGGCTGTACAGATCGCCCTAAGAAGCAACGCCTTTGGGAAGAAGGCAGCGGCAGTAAGCGGCTTGACAAAGTGATAATGACCCCAGCTTCAATTGCTTGGACTAAAGGCACGGACTGTGGTTTGTGCATCAACTCACCGACAGCCCCGGCCGAGGAGGCCCTGGTTGAGCCTGTAGAGCGCACGACGGGCGCCTTCGCTTCGTGCGTGTGGAGCCTCTTAATCCTCTCAACTGCGGTGCGCTGAACACATTGCAGTTTTGGTGGAGGAGATGGAAGAGGAGCAGAGCAGTTGTCGTCTTCAAGCAGTGCCAGCTTTTCTAGCAATGCAATGTCAGCCCCACGGTGGTCCGTTCGTCGGATTTGATTCCCAAGCCTTCGTCTCAAAGGGGAATGCGACATCAGATGCTCCTTTATCCGTAGTTTTTTCTTGGAGATTTGTTGAGTAAAGCAAGCAAAAAACCCAAATCAGTTCCTAAATGCTGCTGCGGCTCGAGATCATTAGCGCAAACCGGTGGGCCATATCGACGGTTGCCTCAACCGACGCAGGTTGTGGTTAAGGGTGATTTTGTGCTGGCAAATGCTGCAAAAGGCTGCATATCTCTCATCATTTGACCCCTTTTAAATGGATATTCGTCTTTATTAGAGCAAACCGTACGCATTCCGCACGAACATTTGCGCCCAAAGTGGAGCCATCTGCTCTGGCGCCAGCAGTTCAGTGCCCAGGTTGTTACTGCGGCTCCCTCTAAACTATATCCTTATATATGTTTAGGATATAACACTATCTTCATCTGTTTAGCATATGTCCATGTTGAGAAGGCACACGTGCAGCTCATACCAGAGATCTAGCTAGCTAGCTGCTCATCAAAAGCTTTCGGATTTACGCAGTTGACTCTAGTGATTCACAAGCAATTCTGAACAACGCATGAACCCACCAAGGCATTGCTGCACACAAGTTTTGCAGCCATCGGGAGGGTAGTGCTTGCTCTGTCAGCATCCCGTAACCCACTCCCAAAGAATGTGGAGTGCTGCTACGGTGGATTCCGCGCCGCTTCCTAGTGACACATAAGAAAAATAACCCCAAAAGAGCGGACGGAGATCGCCTGGTGGGCGTTTTTCTGGAAGTTCCGCAGCCATTGTGGACAATTCTGTCGCCAGTGCACGTTCTTTCAGAGGGTTAAGTCAGTGACACGGTAGCCCACATCGGCAGGGCTGGAGCCCGCGATTATTGCGTCCGCTAATTAAACTCCTCGCCACGCTTGTATTGCTGCATTTGTTAGATGTGTGGACGGATGCAGCTTTTCTGAATTGGGCAGAGGACGACCATGCATATGCTTGTGCACGGAAACCAGACCTTCATTTAAAGATAGCGAGGGGCAATTAAAACCGTTCACTTAATTCAACTATACCATTAGGAAACTGAGCCAAAGCTCCGTCAAATACTACCATTTCATATTGAAGTTCATATTATGCAACTCAGCCAGCCCCTTAAGCAGCGCATCGCAGCGCCTCGGATATGAGGTGCAGTAGCATGAATTAATCAACAAGCCGCGTCGCATGCAAACAACCTGCTCTGCGCAACACATTTTATGCAGGATAGAGCTCAAGGAAGCAGTGTGTTCTTGTACCATTTCCCTAGTGGGAAGAGGCTCGTGCCAGCCGCAGTTTGAATCATTGCTGTTTCTTGGGCTTTTATCCATTGAAGGCAGGTTAGGTCGGCTGCAAGCGGTAGGTTAGCCCGCCTCTGAGGGCGTCAGTAGAAAGTGCTGAATCTGCTATGCAACGAAAATCTGTTGGATTCTGGTCCTGTGCTGACTGCCATGCACACGTTTCCGAGGCCGGTGCTGTGAAACTAACGGGAGGCGCAGAAGTAAACACTATCAGTTGCACTGAGAAAATACGCTAAGCAATTGACAGCCAGAGAACAGCAAATGCCGTGAGCCACTATAAGCCGCGGGTGGGTGGAGGAGCAGCGTCCCTCAAGCCTCAAACTGTAAATAGTAAAACCCCAGACGGTAAACGGTAGGCCCGCACCAGAGCTCCGGAAAAGTCTATAGTTGGGCAGTTGATGCCTGTGCTCGCGTCTCCTTTCAGTTACAACACATGTGCAAATTGATTTACCTCATAAAGTCAACGGTATATCATATACCATAGTACAGCTCAGTTCGCCCAGACCATATGCCTGAATTGCGCCTTGCAGTCAGCTGTATCAACATTAGGCTATTGTTTGTGGTATATTCAAACATATCCGAGCCTAATTCCCCTAAACATATATTTATCCATAATTCAGGCCTGCACTAAAGGTAATGAATCCGCATGGGGTGCGATCCACTAATCTAATGACTGTGGAACCCTGCAGGCTGCCACACCACGTCTGTAACGAGACCCTCAACCTTAGCCAGGAACCGTTATCAGCAGTCATGAAGTCAAAGGAGTCGGGATGGGAATATACACAGTGCAGCCTATCCTCTAATAGACTCTAAGGCGGCCTTCGCACTGCGGTGACCTGGAGACTGGCATAAAGGCCTATCGCTGATTATGCCCCGGATATGAGACAGGCACATATTCTGCTATGAGTTGCTCCAGCTCTCCTTGCCGTAACCACTGCAGCTAGGCAACCCCACATGCAAGCGTAACCAAGCCCCTTATGCTGCATGCACTACCACGTTACGCTTTCAAGCGTATTCAAGCTCCCCTTGCTGCTTGTACTGACATTATAGACAGCTGTTGAATATTTCCTTCGTCCTTATAAGCAAATATGCACGCGCCTAGGAATGTGAATAACTACAACTTTAGACGGACCGAGCCGCAGCATTGGCGCTCCGGAGGGTACGTCCACAGCTAAGCGTCCTGCGTCTCATGAAGCAGCAAATGCCTCTAAAGTCAGATTCATCATTTTCATACTGACAATAAGTATACAGCGAGGAGGGTTTATTTCAGGTGAGCAGCAGTAGCACTACGCAGCAGCCGCGTCTTCGCCTTGTGTGGAATCGAGCACAACGCGAGCAGCACCCCGACGGCATTAAATAGGCCCAGCACCCCTTTTCTGAACACGTAACAAATACTATATTTGATCAAAGTTTTAATTAATTAATAAAATAACGCGGGATCTTTTGAGGGGTATAATTGACCATAACACGGAGCAGAGAACTGCGGCCACCCGCCAGTGCTGCCACACGCAGCAGCCCCTCTGCGCTGCCGCCAGCTGCTGCACAGGCGTCCCCACGTTTCGTGAGCCGTAGCACTGATATTGCTGCTGTTTGTCTATCGGTGCTGTTCTTTATGTTCTAATTAGGGAGAAGCGTGGCAAAAAGGATTTGCCTTTCCAGTTCAGCTTTCGGTTCTAGCCGCCCCCTCTCCTTCAACCGCTTTCGAAAATGGTACGCGGCAGCGCATCCGGAGCGTCATCTGTAACACGTCGTATCGGAATGCCTTTCGTTCTGTTTTCTGATCGTATCGACGGGGATGGATTTATTTATTGCCATATATGCTAACCTAAAAGTCTGTGGTTCAGTTCCTGAGCCGTGGATGTGACGGTTGTGCTCATGCAATAACTTGTGGGGGGCGTATTTCCGCCGGTGCATTCACTGCTGGTTGGATGACGTCGCTTGTCCTGTTTGTTTAAATATCAAGTTGATGCCTCTTTACCGCAATAGCACGGTATTTAGGGGCTGAGGTAGTTGAGTCGGTGCTGGCTTGCTGTGGGGCCTCACCAGCCCGCAGAGCGAGGCTAAGCCACGTAGCTGTGCCGATGCATGCACTTTTTCTATCTCTTTGCTCTGGTGGGTTACGCAAAGTATAGAGCGGTTTAAACTGCGTTGGGCGTGCGCGGACGGTCGGTACGCATTAGCAGATTGCATGTAGCGTCTATGTGTTTGTTTGTGTTTTTGTGTCTGGCTTTACAGGTGAATTTTTCAGTGGATCAGATGCGCGAGATTATGGGCAATCCTAAGAATATTAGGAATATGTCCGTTATTGCCCACGTCGACCACGGAAAGAGTACTCTGACGGACTCTCTGGTGTGCAAGGCNGGAATATGTCCGTTATTGCCCACGTCGACCACGGAAAGAGTACTCTGACGGACTCTCTGGTGTGCAAGGCCGGTATCATCTCCGAGAAGGCATCGGGAACAGCCCGTTTCACCGACACCCGCGCTGACGAGCAGGAGCGTTGTATTACCATTAAGAGTACCGGTATCTCGTTGTACTTCAAGCAGGACTTGGATGATGGGAAGGGCGAACAGGAATTCTTGATCAACCTTATCGATTCTCCAGGACACGTTGACTTCAGCTCTGAGGTCACAGCCGCTCTTCGTGTTACCGACGGCGCCCTGGTCGTCGTAGATTCTGTTGATGGTGTCTGCGTGCAAACAAAGACAGTGTTGCGCCAAGCACTCCAGGAGAGAATCAAGCCAGTGCTGCACGTGAACAAGGTCGATCGCGCGCTGCTTGAGTTGCAAATGGACCCGGAGGAGATCTACCTGACTTTCGAACGCAACGTCGAAAACGTGAATGTCATTATTTCGACTTGCAGCGATGAAAACGTCGGGGACATGCAGGTGTTCCCTGAAAAAGGAACTGTTTCCTTCGGTTCCGGTCTCCACGGTTGGGCATTCACGATTGAGAAGTTCGCAAAGCTGTATGCAGCAAAATNTCCTTCGGTTCCGGTCTCCACGGTTGGGCATTCACGATTGAGAAGTTCGCAAAGCTGTATGCAGCAAAATTCGACATTCCCAAGGAGAAGATGATGCAGCGTCTGTGGGGCAACAACTTCTACAACGCAAAGGAGAAGAAGTGGACGCGAACTCAGACAGAGGGCTCTCAGCGTGCCTTCTGCCAGTTCATCATGGACCCCATCTGCAAGCTCTTCTCCACCATCATGAACGACCAGAAGGATAAATACGAGAAGATGCTTACGACTCTCGGCATTGAGCTGAAGGTTCGTTTCACACCGATATTCTCAGATACCTAGTCTCTAGTTTCCTAGGAGTCGGTCTTTCATTGGTTTTGTATGGTTTCGCTTTTGTTTGCAGGGTGACGACAAGGACCTGACTGGCAAGGCGCTACTGAAGCGTGTTATGCAGCTGTGGCTCCCTGCTGGTGACTGTCTGCTGGAGATGATCGTGCGTCACTTGCCTTCTCCTTGGGAGGCACAGAAGTACCGTGTTGACACCCTGTACGAGGGTCCTAAGGACGACGAGGCAGCCAATGGCATTCGCAACTGCGACCCCAACGCTCCTCTGATGATGTACGTGAGCAAGATGGTGCCGACATCGGACAAGGGTCGTTTCTATGCGTTCGGTCGCGTCTTCTCCGGCACTGTCGCCACAGGCCAGAAAGTGCGCATTCAGGGCCCCTACTACGTGCCTGGGGAGAAGACTGATCTGACCATCAAGACCATCCAGCGTACTGTCATTATGATGGGAAAATACGTTGAACAGGTGCAGGATGTGCCTTGCGGTAACACTTGCTGTCTGGTCGGTGTCGACAAGTTCCTGCTCAAGTCCGGAACCCTCACCACCTACGACCAAGCCCACAACATCGCCGACATGAAGTACTCCGTCTCGCCTGTCGTGCGTGTCGCGGTGAAGCCGAAGGACATGAAGGAGCTGCCGAAGCTCGTCGAGGGTTTGAAGAGGCTGTCCAAGTCCGATCCGTTGGTCGTCTGCACAACTGAAGAAAGTGGAGAACACATCATTGCTGGGTGTGGCGAGTTGCACGTGGAGATTTGCCTTAAGGATCTGAAGGAGGAATATGCCCAGATTGACATCATCGTATCCGACCCCGTTGTCTCGTACCGTGAGACAGTCACTGCTCCTTCATCCATGACCTGCCTGTCCAAGTCTCCAAACAAACACAACAGGCTGTACATGACGGCAGAGCCACTCCCTGAGGGTCTTCCTGAGGCCATTGAATCCGGAAAGATCAGCTCAAAGGACGGTCCCAAGGAACGTGCCAACGACTTGAGCGAGAAGTTCGACTTCGACAAGAACCACGCGATGAAGATTTGGTGCTTCGGCCCCGANGTCGGTGTTCAGTACCTCAACGAAATCAAGGACCACTGCAACTCTGCCTTCCAGTGGGCTAGCAAGGAGGGTGTGCTCTGCGAGGAGAACATGCGTGGTATTCGCTTCAACCTGACAGACGTCACCATGCACGCTGATGCCATCCACAGAGGTGCAGGCCAGATCATGCCCACCTGCCGTCGTGTGCTGTACGCGGCCCAGCTCGTCTCGCAGCCACGTCTTCAGGAGCCGATGTTCTTGGTGGATATCTCCGTGCCTCGTGATTCTATGGAAGGCATTGACACGGTGCTGTTCATGCGTCGTGGACACGTGTTCGAGGAGGACAGCAAGCCTGGCAACCCTCTCGTCGTGCTGCGTGCTTACCTCCCCGTCGCCGAGTCCTTCGGTTTCACCACCGCGCTGCGTGCTGCAACATCAGGCCAGGCCTTCCCTCAGTGCGTGTTCGACCACTGGAGCTGCCTCAACGGCGATCCCCTTGAGAAGGGCAGCAAGATGGAAGCCCTTGTGCAGGGTATCCGTACCAGGAAGCACTTGAAACCCGAAATTCCTCCTCTCGACCACTACTACGACAAGCTGTAAACGGCGCCTACAGTATGCTTTCAGAAGCCACTGCTTGGGCTAAGGCAAAACATCCCGGCATGTTTTGGTGTAGACATACGTTTCGCATTGCAAGTGTTAATGTGAACATTGGGCACAGTTCTGCTTTAAGAATTCGCTGTTGTTCTCAAACTCCCTAACAGATTCGAGAACAACAATTTCCGCCGTATCGCTCTGCTACGTGCTACAAAGGCGATACAGAAAGAGGCGATACGTACACATCTTGGTGCTGCGGTGAAGCAGCGGATCAAGACTTTCATTGCTTCCCGAAAATTGATATTTTCTGTTTACAGCTACCGGTCGTCCTTACTATTATATCCTAGTTGAGGGGTTACACTTGGTAATCAGCTGTTCTGCTGGGTGCGGGCTAGCTTTTTAGTCTAACTGGTAGAGGAGGCAGCTCTGGTTGCTGTAGCCATTAGTATTGCAGACACGTTCGATTGTAACTTCACTCAGAGGTTCGCTGGACGCTTTCGCGGTGCCAGGCAAGGGCGAGTGAACGCCCACAAATGCAGTTTTGCATATTCGGGTTTTGTCGAGCTACAGGAGCATCGAACAGCCTTCAGGACGACGACGAGGGGCGTTATGCAGTTTGGCATCACATAATCGTGCATATGCCGCCCTTCTTTTCCTGTACATCGCATGCATACGACAGGATCATCATCAATGTGTTGGACTGCTATTTCGTGGCAGCTTACCTTATTGTCGAGATGCAACACTAGCAGTCAGCCACGCTCGTGGAGGTGTGGAGGCACCCACCTTGCGGTCCTTCTGAACGCCTGCTGGCCGCCAGCAAGCATAAACATCGCATTCACAACCTTCAACGGGTGGCGATCCCACTGATGGTGGGTGCACTGCAGCAGCAGCTGCAGTGCAAGGGGGTTGTGCGTATCTCGAGGGGTTGTTGCTGGGTTGCTCGTCAATACAGCGTGTAGGGTCTGCAAGAAGGTTGTAAAGCTTGTAAGTAGGGCGCGTGTTAAAGTTAAATACAGGCAGCTGCATTACTATACACGCTGCAACACTGGTGCATCTCACCTGAACTACTGGTGGAGTCCGAATGCCACTTCATCTTGAGTCCTTTCGAAGCGCTTGAAGACAGCTGCTTAAGCAGCGAATTCCGCTTCCGTTCGTTCTTGTTTCGTAGAAGGACTTCGCAGTTGTGATCCTCCTTCAGTCGGTGTTTAATGCAGACGTCCATCTGGCAATGTGGGCATTTAATTGATGAAATCGGGGTTAGCCGCTGCAAACAGGCACAGAGAAGAGCAAACTGCAACCAAAAAACTCCTCACGCTGCATCCACATGCTTGAATGATGAAATGTTCTGGTAAGAACCATACAGCCAAAACATCACCAGAATCATACACTTTTTGAAAGTGCACAGAAGCACACACACCCTTTGAGAGATTCAACAGAGCTACACATTTTTATAGAGTCAACAGGGTCATAAAACAGGATNACACACACCCTTTGAGAGATTCAACAGAGCTACACATTTTTATAGAGTCAACAGGGTCATAAAACAGGATAATCACCACAACCATGGGGATAGGAAATGAACAGAACCATAAACCAAGAGAATCAACAGGACCACACACTTTGATTGATTCAGCAGAATCCTATAATTATTTTATAAGATCAACAAAATCACGTATTATAAGAGAACCAAAAAATTCATGCTTTTTGAAGAAATTCATAAAAATTATATATTTTGAGAGAACGACGAGGTTCTCTCTTCTTACTTCTTTGCAGCCTTTGACTGGGCAATGCCTCCCCTTTCTCATCTGTTCCCTCTGCGCCCGCAGCTCCGGCCTACATTGCGGTCTGTGGCGCCCTTTCACCTCATCTTCCGTTTCTAAATCTTTCTGATGCAAAAGCAAAAGAACAAGAAATAAATACGTAACGAGAAAGGGATGTCTAAATGTTACGGTGGGTTTGATGCACATATTAAAAAGATTCCCAAATAAAAACTGAACTGTTCGTCCACTACTTACTAATATGTCTGGTTAAACATGTCTAGTTCAACACCTATAATTAAATATGTTTAAAGGGACATGTATACTTAAATATTTCCAACTAACACATCCAACTAAGTGTATCTAAATAACCGCGTAGTTGAATATGTGTAATTCAATAACTCTAGTTACAGTTTGACTGAATACATCAAACACGTCTAAGTAAATAACTGTATATAAGCAAAATATATGGATACAGTTCCCTCTGCTTACCAGCGTAACAACTTCAAGACAGTCGGGGCATACGTACACCCGGC